TTAAAAATCATCCTTTCTAGATTATATAGGCTGATCTCTTCATTAGATATTGCATATTTTTATCATTTTTATTAATGAAATATAATTATAGCAAAATAATCTACTACAGTTCATAGCAGGAATAGAATCCTAGGGTCTATTTTAAGCAAAATCTATCAGTCAAATAAGAAAGAACTTCCACAAAAAAGTCTAATTCCTCTAGAAAAAGCAGAGCTCCAAACAAAACCTGCAAACTAATTCTGCTTCCAGTTTCTTTGGCCAAGTTATTTCCTCCACTTTTAATTTAACCCCTGTGCATCTTTATTACAGTGCATCATTTGGTGCTACACTTAAACTCAGTGGCATTTTAAAATATACTGACACTAAATGAGATGTGCCAAGTATGGGGCTCGGATGCCGTGAGCAGGTACATGAGGCCGCTGCCAGCCAATTAAACCCCCAGTGTTGAGTTTCCTCCCTCACTTCTCTTCCTTCTTTAAAGTAAAAACACGGGATATACTGAGATGGGGTTTTCTCTTTCCTCTGTGTAATCCTTTCTTTCACTGCTAAATGATTTAACGGCTAAAAGCAAGGTATATAGTTCAGCTCATTTCCCCCCTCTGCTTTATTTCAGCAAATTATCCTTTGGGCAAACAAAATTAGCGGTCTCCAAGGTACTCCATTCCGTAAAATTACAGATCCTGCTCTTGGGAGGTTCATGAAAAACCACACTTTCTGCTACCCTGTATTGTCACAAACGCCTAAAAGGTAGAAAACTTACCCGTGTGCACGGCTGTCCAGACACTGAAGTGAGAAAGCCATGAATGGTCATGGGACAGTTGCTTTCTAACGCCCTCCCTTCCTCCAGAAGGTAACTTGCGCTCCCCTCCGTTTGCGAACAGGGCGGGGCAGAGGGCCAGAGTCAAGAGCATTGTGTCTGAAGTCACACTTTTACTGTGACTGCAAGTGCACGGGCACCTTTCTACCGTCTCGTTTTTGAGTTGACATCTCAGAGACAAGAGAGACTCTGTTCCTCCCAGCTCAGGGCTGAGGAATCAGACTTTCGATCTTCAACACGTGTCTCGGCAAGTAGCATGGAACCCATAGTTGAGCTGCGGGGTTGCCACGCTAAATCCTTGAGACGGATGAACTGCCAAGATCTCCCAGGCAGCATTTCCCAGAAATATCCAGTTCTTTTGGGATCGGGAACAAAGTACACTTAAACTTTCACGTGTATTTATAGCCCAAATTAAAATGAAAACGTATTTGTATTTCCCCATGTTGTATTCATCCAAGTAATCAAGTCAACAGCCGCTCACTGGTTAGATGAGAGTTGGCCCCGTGACCTTGTAACATTACTTGACCCAGTGGTCTGGAGCTGTCTGATGTTGCAGCGTGAAATACAGAAACGGCACTGAACTGGCTGGCAAGTGACACCAGCCCCTGGGCTTCCCATTAACATGTGCTCTGAAAAGAGTCTTGCAAATACTAAGATAAAACTATAATTTTTGTCATCTTCATTTTCATGAAAAATATTAAAATATTTGTTCAGCAGTCCTCAAACTTATACTTGTAATGATTATTGAGGACCCTAAAGAGTGTTGGCTGAAGTAGGGTATAGCTATGGATATTCAACCACATTAGAAACAAAAACTGAGAAGCTTAAAAAATATTTTAGAATAATAATAAATCCATTACCAATTTTAACCTAAATAACATATTTTTATTTAAATAAACTTTATTTTCTATTCCAAAACAAAAAACAATTTAATGAAAAGAGTAGCATAGGTTGGCAAGTTGGCAAATTTCTTAATAGAACATAGCTGGATTCTTACATATATTTCTGCACTCAGTCTGTTGCAATATGTTCCTTCAGTTGAAGGATATCAAGAAAACCTGGCCCTACCCCGAGAAGTATTTGGAAAATAGAATAATATGTTATGTTTTTTACAGCCTTTTCAGGTAATTGTGTATATTCTTCTTTGATTTTATACCAGAACTCTACAATGGTAATTCTTAAGTATTAGTTGCAATGTGAAATCTAAAATCACATCAGTAAACTTTTTGTATTTTATGAGATGATAAGGTTG